CTTCAAGTCTAGAATTAGCTATCTTTCCTGTTATCTTGGCCTTTCTTACGCTAATAAAACTCCACAGAGTAACGATCTACCTTGAGTGGCCCTTGGGCCTTTCATTGGGTAAACATTAGTGTAAAAACATCTACACACACCCATACACACAGGAAAGTTCTTCATCTCACTTCAGTTCTTCATCTAATTAAAAGTCAAATTCAAATTCATTTGTTCAGTTATTTGGTCAGATTTTAGTAAGAGTCTAAGTAATTTTCAGCACTTCCTCACATGTCCCCTGATATTCTCTTTGAATAGATTATTGCTTTTCAATATTTAGCATTTGGCCTTCCCTTATTATCTAATCTATAATGTTAAAATATATAGGATTGAGTTTCCGGTTCCTTCAACTCTGTACTTCTGACGTCTCTGCCTGAAATCTGAAATTATATTCAGTAATTATATTTTCCTCTCCAAATAGGAGTAGATAGGTTTGCCTTTTTTCCAGTTCACAATCGGGGGTTTTGAATAGGTGTAGAGATTTATCCCTTGTTTCCTGTTTAGGATTGGGTTTTCCGGTTCCTTCTAAAGTCTACCTCAACTCTATCTTCCGAACGTCTCCGTCTGAACTCTGACATCTTATTTGGTAATTAAATCTTGACCAATTCAAGTTTCCTGTTATCTTGCCTATCTAACACAACTCCACATAGTAACGATCTATCTTGAGCGGACCGGCCTTGTATTGGGTAAACATTAGTAGCGAAAAAAAAAGCATTTCGACTTGAAGGCATACAGCAAATTAGTGTAATTTCTCATTTTCGGCAACTTTGTAAATAATTCTCATCCATTCTCTCAAAATAACTTTGTCCTTTGCTAACTCATGCAATCGTTGCAGATCTTCTAAGTTCTTCAAAACTTTTCCAGGGAATGAAGGAATTATATTGACGGTTCTTTTAGTGTCGTTATTCAATCTATACTATGGTTGTTCGCCCAAGGTTACCGTAATTTCTCGAAAATAATACGCATTTTTTACTGTAAATTTCAGGTGATAGTAGTGATGCGTATTATAAATAGGTTTAAGCAAAAATATTTTTTTCGTTATTGATTTATAATAATAAATAAGAAAAATATCCCAATTTTCATTTTAAATCCAACAATAAAAATTGTAATATTTTTTTATCAATAAATTTAGTAACAGTATTTTTTATTTGTCGAAAAAATAAAAAAAATCTATAAAAAGGCCCCTTTAAAAGAAAAGAGGATATCAAGTTAACAATTTATTGAAATTTTAATTTTCATATCACCACTTTCTATTATAGAATCAATATCTAAATTATCATTAAACAAATTATCATCCACAATGATCATCTTCAACCTGTTCAAAATTATCATTGGCCTCTTCATTCTCTTGCCACTTTTATAATGCTTTTTACCTCAGTTTGGGGGTTAACTATTTGCCCATATCTGAGACCCTAACAGGTGCTATCACCCTGGGTCAGGTTGGACCTGGGAACACCAGCAATTAAGAGGTGGTTTCACGCTCCTCAAAGCCTCCTGATCAGAGGCCTTGCTGTTGGACGTAGTTTATCGCCTTACCCTGGACACGGATGTAGTTTATCGTCATACCCAGGAGGGTCAAAATTTATTAAATTTCATATCAAACTATGTTATTTATATAAAACTACCTTCACAGTATGTATATAATCTGTGTTATGAAAAAGGATACCGTGTTTATTCTTGGTTTCCAGTTTAACTGTTCCATTTTATAGATGCTATATACAACCTAAATAGCCTTTATTTCAAAATCCGAAAAAATCTGAAAACCGAAGTACTTCCGGTGTCAATAAAAGATTCTGAATTTGTATTAGTATCAATTCTTTTTTTGATTTTGGTTTCTTGGAGACAATATACATTAATGTTATAACTAATAACTTTGTCAGTCAATAAGTCCGCCTTTTCTTTTTTCACGAGTCTCCTAACAGTAAATGTCCTGACAGTTAAGTATTTACATGCGATTAGAGACAGTTTTAAATAAGAAGTTGTAACACTGATAAAAAGAACAGAAAAAAAATGGCGTTGATAGAGCAAATGAGATCGGCTGAGCTGTACGTCTAAACAATTTGGACGCATGAGATTTCAAAATTTAAAATCTAGCGTCCTTACATTTTCAGCGTTTCGATGTGTAATTACATCTGACGTCTATATATATATATTTTAAGACATTTTTATGTTTATACATTATTTTTATAGATACGAATATTTAAGTAAATGCTCTGTTTATAATAAACAGTATTAAAGCAACATTTACTGGCGTGAATGTCCGAGAAATTTTCACAGAAAATATTTGTCCTCCTACAGGATACGAACCTGTCTCCTATACGGAACCGTCATTTAGCTTGACGTGCCTTTACCGATTTGGCCACAGAGGAGCGTTTGGTTAGCAAGGTCCAATTTACTGCATTTAAACTTGAATCTCACATGAATCTCTCACGTACATTCATATCTGCTCATGGCGTATCAAATGTAAACAAATGACGTCACACATTAAGGAAATGGACAAAGTCCAACAATTATTTTAAGACATTTTTATGTTTATATATTCTTTTTATAGATACAAATATTTAAGTAAATGTTCTGTTTATAATAAACAGTATTAAAAATTTAAGTAAATGCTCTGTTTATATAAACAGTATTGAACATTTCTCGGACATTCAGGCCGGTAAATGTTGTTTAATACTGTTTATTATAAGCAGAGCATTTACTTAAATATTTGTATCTATAAAAAAATGTATAAACATAAAATGTCTTTAAATAATTGTCGGACTTTTTTATCCATATATATATATATATATATATATATATATATATATATATATATATATATATGCAACAAAATTGTCCAAATCGTGTAAAAGCAAAATTTTCATTTGTTAGATTAAGCTTTGAACCGTTGTATCTTAGAAATGATTAAAGGTATCTTACCGGAACACTCCGAGGTTTTTCTAACACTATTTGACTCTACTTTGAACAATAAGAATGTATAATTATTCTCCATGCTTAACAGAAGAATCGTGATGAAATCGATCATAAACGAAAATGAAATATTCATCATTCATTAATCATAGCTAAGGATCGGAAGCTCATGAAATATATATATATATTATTCCAGGATCATTTTTCAACTTATTCAATATGATCTTCGCCCTATCTAACCTTCTAACTTTATGTCATATAGTAACACATTGACACGTACATTTTCATTTTCAAGTCTTTTGTCATTGCTCTTTGGACTGTCATAGCTGAAACTACTCTCTCACGTGCCAAATGTCTTGTAGATTGAGTTGGCTCTTTTCTAATTGATCTCTTTAGCTCTAAGTTGAAATGATGATCCCTCTTGCTGTTGGCATCTCCTGATCCAGTTTTCCTCTCTACTGTTCCCTCTTTTTAAAACTTATTCACCGTTCTTTTGATTGCTCTTGACTGGACATTGAAGATGGAAGCCAGAGTATGAATGTCGGTACTATTACTGAAGATCTGAATGTTTTCTTTGCTCTAATCATTGCTCGGTTAAGAAGACAGTATGTCTGACACAAAACAATTTTAACCTGCTATCCTTCAAAGGGTTTTTCAGTGATTCTTACGATAAATGATGTCTAAACGTCTCATCTGAAAACCTGGAAAAAAGAATCTTAATTAGTTTAGTGGCTCTCTACTGGACTCGTTAAAAAGTATATTTATACTGACAGAGAGAATACCTGGTGTTGAGATACGTTAAGAGATACGGAGACAGACACAGGGTGTTCTCGGAGATTTATACAAGAGTCCAGAGAGAGAGAGAGGGGGGGAGAGGGAGAGGGAGGGGAGGGTGAGAGAGAGAGAGAGATGATTACGGCTTTACTTACAGAGACTTGTACATATACTTTCTACTAACCCGCATCCTGGACTCCTAATCTTCACTTCAAGTCTGTATTCTTACGTTTAATACACTTATTTTTCTATCTCAATTTCTGGCGTTGTTTATTTATTTGTGCAGGATTCCATCCCCGGAATCCACAACAATATATTTGCGTGGGTATGCAACTCCTAGTTTTGCAATTAATGTAAGTTATTAAGATATATATATATATATATATATATATATATATATATATATATATGTACATGTATTGATGTGAGTTTGTGACCATGGGTTTGCGATTGTCATACAAGCATGAAACCCATATATAGATATTGTATGGCTTCATCAGTGGTGGCGGTAATAAAATAGTGCTCGATGCAGAGCCATAAACTATATATTAATAAACATATAGTGTGGACAAATATGTATATTTACTAATAGATATATATATATATGTGTATATATATATATATATATATATATATATATATATATATATATATATATAGATAGATAGATAGAGATAGAGAGAGAGAGAGAAGAAATTAATTAATTTTATTTTCAATACTACATTTTTATTACTGTTACACTCGACAGACACACACACACACACACACACACACACACACACACATATATATATATATATATATATATATAATTCCATCAATAAGAGCATTATTTTAGTCTGATGAAGTCTAAACGGCCGAAACGTGTTACAAAGGATTGATTGTCAGTAGCACCAAATTGAATTTTGGCACAAAAGAAAAGAATTATAATGATCCATATCAAGTGGAACAGACAATGACAAAGTAGAAATATTTTTTGAAAGAAGACAAAAAGACATGGTAAAATTGAAAATGAGACAAAAAAGTACAGAAATAAATTGAAAGAATAAAAAGAGAAATTATCAAAAAAAAAAAAAAAAATGGCTAGGCCGAAAATTTAACCCTCTCTTGCCATTTTACTGATTTCTTTCCGTTCTTGATTGGCAATTCCATTTTTTTTTTTCTTGCGATTGTCCATTTATCTTTTTCCTTTCATTTCTCTTTCTTTCTTCGGTCACCAAAGATTGTTTGACGAGAGTCTCTTTATCTTCATCTGTAACCCATTCGACCGACACATGGTGAACTGTTGTTGTCATGATCACGCCATCTTGAATACAAAACCTTTACTCTCGATTTAAGCGGGAAAACTTTCGAACAATTAGAAAGAATAAAGTTAAACATATTTGTTTTCATTATATAGGCCGCCCTCTATTCGGCATCATTATTCATAGAACGAACTCAAAACTACCTTTACTGTATCCTTAAAAAAAACGTATAGATACAATGCTTATATTTAAGATATTCTTTCTTTTACTTTTTCTTTCTTTTGTACAATTTTCATTCTTTCTTTTCTTTTTTTTCACGTTTCTTTGTTTTCGTTTTTCATTCTTTACAGCTTCTTTCATTGTTTTCTTTTCTTGCTTTTTGTTACTTTTCCTTCCTTCCTTGTCTACTTACTTCCTTCCTTCCTTCTTTCTTTCTTTCTTTCATTCTTCTATTGTGTCTTTGTTTTTCTTTTCCTTTTTTCTTTGTTTTCACTTTTCTTTCGTCTCCTTTTTTTTCTTTGTTTTCTTTTCTTGATTTCTGTTTTTTCTTCTTTCTTTCTTTTTTTCTTCTTTCTTTCTTTTTTTCTTTCTTTCTTTCTTTCCTTTTCCTTCTTTCTTTCTTTCTTTCTGTCTTTCTTTCCTTCTTTCTTCAATTTTTTTTTCTTTTTTGTTTTCACTTTTCTTTTGTCAGGTTTCTTTGTTTTCTTTTCTTGTTTTTCTTACTCTTCCTTCCTTTCTTCCTTCCTTTCTTCCTTCTATTTTTCTTTCTTTTTTTTCCTTTTTTATTTGTTTTCATTTTTCTTTCTCCACATTTTCTTTCTTTCTTTTTCTCTTTTCTCTTTCTCCCTTTATTTTTTTCTTTCTTCATCTACTTTTATTCCATTTTCGTTTCATTTTTTCTTTGTTTCCTGTTTTCTTTCGTTCCCGTTTCTTTCTTTTTCTTTTTTTCGCTTCCTGTTACATTCCATTCTTTCTTTCTTTCTTTCTTTCTTTCTTTCTTTCTTTCTTTCTTTTTATTTATTTTTTCTTTCTTTTTTTATTTATTTTTTCTTTCTTTCTTTCTTTTCATTTATTTTTTCTTTCTTTCTTTTTATTTATTCTTTCTTTCTTTCTTTCTTTCTTTCTTTCTTGTTATTTATTTTTTCTTTCTTTCTTTCGTTTATTCTTTCTAGATTTTCTCTCTTTCCATGATTTTTGTTTCTCGTTCTCTTAACATATTTCTTCTTTTGCTTCTTTATCTCGTCAATTTATTTTTCTACCCCCCCCCCACTCTTTCTTCTCTCTTCATTTCTTTTCCTTTCTCCTTCCTCTTCCTATTCATCTTTTATTTTTTTTTATCATTCTATCTTTATTCTTTTCAGTCTTTTTCTTGCACCTCTTTCAATTTCTTTTCATCTCTCGTTCTTTTCACCGCAACTAATCGACTTGGTCGCTAATGATTTTCCTCTCCTAATTTCACGTTTCATTTTATTCCACATTTCTTATTCAGTAATTTATCTTTATTATGAGAATAAAAGAGAAAAAAAATATTAAAAGCTATATCTGGGAGTTGACCCAATGCTCAAAATTTAGCATTAAATCTATCCCTAGATTCCCTGAGGCAGCCATGACTTTTAATAAAGAACAACGCCATTTTCTTTGCTTTTCTTTATTAGTCTTTTTTTTTCAACGCCAACGTTGGCAGTGGCATGATTGCGGTTATGGGCGTCGCTTTGGACAACGGAGCCTTCATTATCCGACAGCTGTAGCCACTGGACGGACAGGCCGGCTCTCTTTAGCTTGTACCGCATATAGAACCATTGATAAAGTTTAGGTAGTTTGATAAGGATTCATGTGTTTTCTATGTGTGCTGAGTGCAATTTATCCGTAATGTATTTATGTATATACATGGATAGCTTTCGTGGTGAATGTGCATATATATATATATATATATATATATATATATATATATATATATATATATATATATATATATATATATGAAAAAATCTACGCTTCGTAAGGACTAACTTCCGTGCGCAGAGCCGATCGAATTGCCAGGCCGGAAGGAAGTAGTGTCCTTCAGTTCCTGACAAAGTGTTCCTTGTTCTCAGAATATATTATAGAAAGAAAGAAAGAAAGAAAGAAAGAAAGAAAGAAAGAAAGAAAGAAGAAAATGGAAAGAAAAAGTAAAAAGGAAACTGAAAGGGAAAAAAAGAATGAGAAAGAAATAGAAATGAAAGAAAGAAGGAATTAAGTATAGAACGGAGAAAGGAACGAAAGAAGAGTGAAAGACAAAAGAAAGGAATTGAAAGAAAGAGAAAAGAAATGAAAAAAAGTAGAGATAGACAGAAAGAATTGTCGAAAGAAAAGAGAAAGAAAGAAAAGAAAAAGAAAGAAATAGAAAACGGAAATAAGAACGGAAACAAGAGAAAGACAAAGGTAACAAGGGGAAAAAGACGGAAAGTAATAAAAAGGAGACTGAAAGAAAGAAAAAAAGAAAAGGAAAAACACGTAAAAGAAAAAAACAAAATAGCTTAAAGAAAAAATACAAAAAAAAAGAAACTTTAATAAAATGAAAAAGAAAAAGGAAAAAGAAAAAGAACAGAGGAAATGTTAACATGAATGAAAGAAATACAGATAAAAAGAAAGAAAGGGAATGAAAATAAATAATAATAATAATAATGTATGAACACCGCCCGGACCCGGTTACAGTGATCGAACCTGTAACAATTTTATGGGACTTTAAAATACACACAGACAGAATAATGAAAGCTAATCGCCCAGACATAGTGATAAGAGACCACAAAAACAAAATGAGCCTTCTTATTGACACGGCATCTCTTGCACATAGTAATGTATCTTTGAACTTCAAAAAATATCAAAATACAAGAATCTTGAAATCAAAATCTCAAAAATGTGGCACATGAGGACATCAACAATTCCAGTTGTAGAGGCAGCCCTTGGATTGATTGGAAAAGGTTCCGATAAACCAATTTAAGGGATTCCTGTTAGTCAAGTCGCTAAAGAAATGCAAAAATTGTACTCACAAGTACAACCCCCACTTTAACAAGGGCTTTATCAATGAAAAAAATATGTGATCTTCTGGGTTTTTTTTCATCAAATAAATACTCAGTGGAAAGAAATGATGGTTGCTTGGTTGTTTTATAGCATATCAATACCTCAGTGGGTCATTTAATGCCAACAATATTTTGAAATAGATTCAGAGCGATCATCGTCGTCGGCATCCGTCCGTCTCGAGAGACGATGGAGTAGCGCCAGTGTGCTACGAGCCCGGACAGGATATATGGAGAACTAGTTACCCCCGCCTTCTCGGCCTTGCTAGCAGAGCCCAAAGGAGAGGATAAACCAATACGGTTTGGTACCAGCGCGACTGCAGGAGTTGCCGGAAGATAGCACAAAGTGGCGTCCATCCACCTTAGGGGTTCCACTCCGGGTTTGAATTCAGAGTTGTCCTTCTCCTAGACCAGTTGCCATCCAAGGCTATAGAACCCAGTCTGTCCTGCTGTTTACCCATTGCTGGAGGGAAAAGAAGAAGATTCACACCTTTCCCAAGAGTATTAACCCGTAATTGAATATAATGGATTCGAATGGAATTTGACTCTCCGATTTCTCAATCTAAGCCGCTATCCATTACGCCATTGTGCCTCCTCATAGTAATTCATAACGATAGTTTGGTAAAAAAAAAGGTGTGTATGTATACATATATATTTGAAACATTTTTCAATTCCTCATATTTCTGCGTACAATCCAACTTCTTTTAGGAAATTTACAATTTTGTATGGTTTTATTTTCATAAAAAGTTGTTTTTTTTTTTTTTAAATTACTCGGTAATATTTTGTTCGCACCGTTTTTATTCTGAGTTTCATTCACCAAATTTTTTTCAAAGAATGTATAACTGTTTGTATTACTGATATGTTTTTTAAAGTATTTCTGATCATAATTTCTCCTTCAAAAATTATTGCTAGTAATAATTTTTTATTACAAAGTATTTCTGGTATTAAAACCTATTTTTACACAAGTCTGGGTGTTAACTATTTGCCCATAGCTAGGACCGTAACAGTTGCTACCACCCTGGGTCAGAGTGGACCTGGGAACACCAGCAATTAAGAGGTGGTTCCATGCTCCCCAAAACCTCCTGATCAGTGGCCTTGCTGTTGGACGTAGTTTATCCTCATACCCAGAAGGCGGATGTAGTTTATCGTCATACCCAGAAGACGGATGTAGTTTGTCGTCATACCCAGGACGGGGAAAGAAATGAGTATACACGAGAAAACCAAGGAAATAATAATAATAATGATCTCAAAACCACCGGCTCCCTTCACACACAGATGGGCAGTTATACATACTAGTATAAACATAGTCGATATTCTGGAAACGGTTTCCAAGTAGTCTATTATATTTAGAGGTACAATCAACGCCACCAGCATCGAATCAGATTTTACTTATTGAGGACTGACTCGTGCTATCCTCTATCTTTACAAGAGCCAGATTAGGCCGTGTGTTCCCTCAGAGAGGCCTCTTGGCTTGAGAGCTAGATCAGGCCGTGATGTTCCCCCAGAGAGGCCTCTTGGCTTGAGACCCAGATCAGGACGTGATGTTCCATCAGAGAGGCCTCTTGGCCTGAGAGCCAGAACAGGCCGTGATGTTTCCCCAGACAGGCCTCTTGGCTTGAGAGCCAGATCAGGACGTGATGTTCCTCCAGAGAGGCCTCTGGGCTTGAGAGCTAGATCAGGACGTGATGTTCCCTCAGAGAGGCCTCTTGGCTTGAGAGCCAGATCAGAACGTGATGTTCCTCCAGAGAGGCCTCTTGGCTTGAGAGACAGATCAGGCCGTGATCTTCCCCCAGAGAGGCCTCTTGGCTTGAGGGCTAGATCAGGCCGTGATGTTCCCTCAGAGAGGCCTCTTGGCTTGAGAGCCAGATCAGGCCGTGATCTTCCCCCAGAGAGACCTCTAGGCTTGAGAGCCAGATCAGACCGTGATGTTCTCCCAGAGAGGCCTCTTGGTTTGAGAGCCAGATCAGGCCGTGATGTTCCCCCAGAGAGGCCTCTTGGCTTGAGAGCCAGATCAGGCCGTGATGTTCCACAAGAGAGGCCTCTTGGCTTGAGAGCCAGATCAGCCTGAAAATGGAATCATATTTTTAAATAAATAATATATATATATATATATATATATATACAAATAAGGTTTTCCTTGTCTTTGAATGGTTTCCACTCGAGGCTACTGATCCAGTCCGCCATGCTATTTAACATATGTCTGTAAGGGAGATAAGACATATTTATGCTTTTCCTAAGGACATTAGTGTGAAAGTGAATGCAACTGTCTAGTACAGAATCCAAACACAGGTTACTGATTCTACTTTATTTACTGAAATATGTTTTATTAATTTTGCAATTTTAATTCAGATTTATTTCTATTCTTCGCAAACCCCATCTAATATGTGTGTGTATAGACACTCCTGCTGATTTCAACATATGAGGATCCAAAACAAATTCATTCAGATTTTATAATTGTGTTGTATGTGATACTTCAGTCCCACTAGTGACCTGCATACAAGTCGACATATTATGCAACAGTGATGACCTTGGGACATAGTCACAGGAATAATTGCTGACGTTTTTTTGCCGTTGTCTTACTTCTCTTAGCCTGTCAAATCGACTGTCTTCGAAATTTCTGATACAGTTCTGGCACAAATATCTCAAGTTATTTCTATCTCAGGCAAATCGCTCAAAGTTAGTTTGAGGAACACTGAGGGCTGAAATGATACTCTTTAGCTTCTCTTTATACAGGAGCCATGGCTCTCCAACCGTCCTTTATCTACTGTCATGCTGGCTATACATGAGGACCTTAGTTATTCTGTCGTCACTCATACTTGCAACATGACCAACCCAGCGAAGTCGTGACTTCATCTGAATTAAGGATTGACTAGCCACCCTAGTATATTGGGTATCCTCAATTACGAGTGGTCAGCTATTAATATTATATATATATATATATATATATATATATATATATATATATATATAGCATAATGAGAAGCCACGTATGCTTTCTTAATATGTATATATAGAAAAAAGTTGCAAGTTAAAAATAATAATGTTTTTTTATGAAAGTATTTATTTATTTATATATATTTTATTTTATTTATATATGTCAATTCGACTGTCTTCGA